AGGGATGAAAAGTTTTTGTGGTCTCATTTTAATTTCTAACTCTACTCCTGTCCCAAGGATGGCAGCAAACATCCACATTCAAGAAAACGTTTGTCACTTCTAAATGATAGGAACTCTCGGATAGCAAAAGCACACAGACTCAAAAGCAGCACAAGAGCCCACAACTGCAAGATTTACTTCGATTTTAAAAAAGATGAAAAAAAAACACCTATTAAATAACTTTAGGCAGTATAAGAACTCTTTAATTATTTCTCATTATCGCACATTGAAACTGATACCTAGGGGTAGAGGTGATTAGGAACAAGTTGCACTGTGTATGTAAGAAAAACGAACAATTTAATTAAGCTCCAAGACCTATTTCTGCACACACTGTATAATACCTTACTGTGTACATGACAAGTACCACGGTCAATGTGAGTGTGAACTTCCAGTTGCATCTGTTAATGAGCTAAAACGACTTTGTTTGATTGGTACTTGAAATCAGACCATGGGCCAATGACACATGTCATCTGCCATAATCTGGCGGGTACCAGTTGTGTCATTAGAGAGAATCTGTAAGCCATATGCCACTCTCTCTATAGTGCCAGCCTTCCTGTCACGACGCTGGTGCCAAGCTCGCTCACTCTCCCTTGAAAAAACTCCACTTCATTAAGAAAGTAAACACAAGTGCTGTCTGAAGTGTCTAATTAGTCCCCTAATTACTCCCCGCTCGTTACTAATGCAAATTAGATTACGCTGCTTAACTTCATCGTGTCCACAACTGCGCTGTTAATTGCGGCCTTTTGAAATTAAATTACTCGCTAATTAGCATATCAAAGCCATTGATTCGGAGCCAGGAAAAAGAAAAAAAAACAACAAACGCCAAGTTTTGCTAATGAGTTTTGCTAATTGAATATCTACGTTCAATATTGAGTTTTTGCCAGTTTGCGCTATTTAAAAGCTACACAGTCACTTCCACGTGTGAATTTAAAAGAAAAAACTCTTCTGCATAGCAAAGCTGCACCATCCCTTTCCTAGAAACTGCTCCAGGCCAAACAAACATGCTTTGAATATTTCTTTTAAGCCCGCCCTAAAAATAAAGTTTTGTTTTTGCAATTGTATTGCGAAAAAATGTACTACTTTACAAAACAGAAAAGAAAGGATGTAGCAATCCCCAGGGGTCATCAGCATTATGAGAAGAAATATGACGCTTTTCTAGTCTCTGCTGCAAAGCTTAAGTAGGTTATCAAAGGTCAGAATATGCAAAAAAACGTTTCTGAAGCAGGTGTAGTGAAGACAATTTTCCAAACACAAACGCGCTGTGCTGACCACGGGTTTCTCTAAGGGAAAGGAACGTGATCCGAGCGCTTCAACTGGAAGGTGCCCATCAAGTCCGGGCCCTCCCCAGCTGCGGCGAGCCCCGCAGGTACTGTCATGTCCCTCGCGCTCAATCACCAGCCCTTCACAGGAAGCCCTTCTGAAAGAGCAAATTACCCCAGATTACTTCAGTAAGCTGTTCTTTTCAAAGAGTAAGTCTAAAAAGCCATTTAACACCGATATTTCTTTAATTATGCAGCACTAGAGAATTTTCATTTCTCCACTAATGCACTTTCATAGACCTCCAGCCGACCATATATAAATATAAAATAAATATTAAAAAATCTAATATAATTTCTTAGATCTGTTGAAGAAAATTGGTACCAGCCTTCTTAATAATAGCTTGCGATCATTAACTCATTTTCTAAGTGAAATCATTTTAGAAAAATACATTCAAATCTTATATAAAACTGGCAACCATTTCTGCTTTTAAATAGGAAAGAACTTAAGATTCATTTTTAAACTTTTCTTTTTCTGTCATTTTTCAATGTCTGCCCACCAGGGAATCTCTGCCAGTGCAGAATCAGAGTTCATTGGAAAAAGTTTCCTTTTATTGAGGTTCCGAACTTCTAATTTTGAATAAAACTCTTAATAATAAGAAGAAAAATGAATACTGAAATTGAGAGGTAGCCACACAAAAAAAAATTAAATAACCATGATAATTAGATGTAAAGATATTATAATTCCGTTAAGGGGATGCATTGAAACTGCGGCACTACAATATTTGCTCTAATTGTCAGAATTACCATATTAACCAGTTACCATTTGAGTAAGTTGATTAAAAAATTGATTATTCGTCTATTTCTTTTAGGAGTTTCTTAATCAAAATCTAACATCCTTGAAAAATTAATTTGAAGCCCCTCTTATCAGTTAATTAAATCTCGTTGGAAGTCATTTTTCTGTGAAGAGTGATTAGACGTTTTCCTCTGTTCTCTACTGTTCAGACAGCATGACGTTATAAAAACTTTTCAGTGTCTCATCATACATTAAAAATAAGAAGAATAGAATTTCTTTGAAGGGCCTCTTTTTTTTTTTTCAAAGCCTACGCCTTCCTGATAAATTGTGCTATACCCAAAAGATCTCTCACTCTTGTTAAATTCATTCTCATTAATGATTATGCTGCTGGAGAGGGAAAGCTGCACCAAGCCACTGTTCAGAATTGTCCGCATTGACAGTGGATTCAGAGGAGGAACCAACGGCCAATGAACTGCAATGATCAGGCAGTCATTCCATCCAGAGAAGTTAAACGGGTAGAGATCACAGACAGGTACTGTATAATACAGACTCATTAGCCATCTCTCTTCAGGGGAGTTCGAGACCTCATGCCTCTCTGAAATATAACTCATTTCAATTCTTATTTTAAAAAGCAAAATGATAACAAACTATCTCTAAGCAAAGGTGACATCACGAACACATTATTTATGAGGATAATTTCAAAGGAATCATTAACAGATGAAGGTTTGACCAGTGCTGCAACCTTTAGAGTTAAATTCTAATTTGACCTACTGTATATGTTGCCATTCCAAACTCTTGGTTAGACAACCTTGGAAAACAAAAAAGCCTTATCTCAATTTATACAGACTAAACATTCAGAAAAAGAGATTAAAAAATAACAATACTATTGAAGCTAACATTGTTTAAAAGGGAAAGTGCTCCCAGCACTGTTCAATCTTACCAATCAATAGCGTATCACTTGCCAAACTGTGATTCATTTACCGTAACATCCAGAGCACTGTTGTTAAAGTATTTAGCACACAACCTTACTACACACAGTATATTCCAGTTTCGCCTGGGGCACACAGAAAGCACCTGCACAGACATCGATATACAACATATGACATACGACAATTGACAGAGCATTTTTTATTAACTGTCGATATTGACAGGTACTCTGTGTGGTAATGCACGTAGGCTCCAATCGCAACTCATGTTGTCTAATCATTCAGGGTGTGTCATAAAACGTTCATACACACTCCCCACAGCTACCACACAAGACACGCAGGCACAACAGAAACTTTAAAGGGCAAAGCAGCAAGATTTTCTTTAGGTGCTGCTCCCTTCTGAAACCTGAACTTGTCTGTCCACATGGTTTCTTTGTACATTTTTATTAAGATTGCATTTACGCTCAATAATATTTACCAAGCCAGAACCATTTAATCATTTGTAGGAAACACTGTTTTTCTCATTGAGTTCAGGTCTGCTCTAATATATAAGCAGGCTTTTCAGTTTGAATTTGAGAAAAGTGAAAGAATCTGCCGCTAACATTTTGGAGTTAAAAAAAAAACCTGAGATTCCCTTGTTAAAGAGGTGCAACAATAACAGTGCCACTTTGGCAATGAAATGTTAAGACATGTAGTGATCTATAGATCAGAGCTCCTTCATAAGAATCCAGATTGATTAGCTCATTAGGGAGAAGAACAGAAAGTGTAAAATATCTTGCCTGGAGATGCACTATCTCACTAATGCTGGAGGATGTAAATTTGGGAAGTTTCATCTTCTCTCCCATAAGCCAGGAAGATCAACTGTCATAAATACTTTCAGACATGGCAGGTGCTGTGTGGTGCAACTCTCCCTGGCACAGAAGGGAAGGCAAGCCAGAAAAGGTTGCTCAATTAGCCTGATTAGTTAACTTACTAAAAGACCAGGTAACACAGATTAAAGAAGAAAAGACTGCTGGTTACGATCAGTCACAATTAACTCTGGTTTGAATACAGATCCCAGTACCTAACATTTTTCCCAGATATTTTTCCCCTCCCTTTCATTTTTCAAAGAAGAAATGTCACTGCGTCTGACTGGGAACTACTGTGGTCTAGCACAGCAGGAACTCAAATCTATGCGTCCGCAATCACTTGAAAAGAACTATCAATTTCCTACGCAATTAACCCTGTGGAAGAGAAAAAGAAATTTAAATTTGGGATGCTAAATTACTCCTTTTCCCTGGTCCCCATTGGGTATGCTATTAAAATCAGGGAAAGCGAAATAGAAAATATCCTCAGGGTTGAACTTGACCTCCTGTTCTCGGGTTCAAACCTGTTACTTTAAAAGCAACCACGTCCCATTAGCCGTCAAATTGCAGAGCTGTTTTACACTGACAATAACCTAATAAATGAAGAGGGAAGTCTTAAACCACAGACTTCAGCCACTGAAAAACGATCTTCCACAGGACCGGCTAATTTTATTTGAGGAGGGGATGAAAAGATGGCATTTAAGGAGAAGTCAAAGCTGTGTTTTTGAAATTACCCATGGTATATAAGCACTACGACGGCCTGCTTCCAGCCAGCGGATGGAAACCAATAGCTCTAACTGCAAAGCCTCACGAGATAATGGTGACAGCATACTTACAGCAAATACAAAACTGCTGTCTCCGGGCTCTTTAGCAGAGAACCCAGGAGATGCACTCAGAAGCAGGGATTTCGGAAAGTTTAAGGCAAACTTTGACAAAACACTAGAAAAATGCCTGACGATATACGTCTCTGCCTCTCTCTTAGCTGGAGGATGCCAGGTTTTCATTAAATGTTCCTTTCCTGAAAGAAAAGCTCACTGTCGGCACAAGGCAGTTGATCCTGACCTTTTTCACAATGCCAAAATAATTAAAACCAAGGGAATAGAAATTATTGATACAGGTCGCAAGAAATAAAACTGACCTTCACTATCCGCTGGTACAGACCGGTTTTCCATGCGAATCCGCTGGTATTGTCGAGCCTGTTTCGCCAAGAGTCAATGGGTTTTTTTAAAGCTCGGTAATAAATGTCGTTAGTCCTTGAAAGAGAAAAAAAACTACGTTTATGTTTTCTCCATTACTAGCAAATTGTTACACATCAAAAGAAACCTCAGTCTTAAAAAAATAGAGGAAAAATGAAAGAAGGAGCTTGGATGACAATTACTTAACCAGTTATAACTTCCTTGTTACTCAAATCAAAGCTTGTAAATAATGGGCTGTGTTTATTTATTTACTCTAACTCCATACTTGACAACCGCATCCTGAGCAAAGGTCTTTACCAAATCCAATTTAGACCTAACACAGAAATCTGTTAAAAATGTCTCTGCTCTGTTGCCCTATTTCCCTGAAAAAACTAAAACTTCGTGTTGGTTTGATAAAAAATCTCTTACCAGCAGCTTTCCATAAAAAACAAGTAGCAAAACATTTTGGAAGCTACGGTCCTACCTTTTGTCCACTAAGACTTCCACACAAAACTTTAGCGGTTTTGCAATTAAGTCCAGAGCATGCAGGTTACAATGTGCACACCATAGTTACTGAGAGTCAAAAAACAGCTGAAGACAAAAAGTCTTTAAAGTTTCATCTTACAGTACATGCGTTGCGTGGTCACCGGTAAACGACATTTACGAAATCAGCAATTTTTAATTTAAATTAATTTTGAAGCCTTTAGATAAAATGGACCGATAGCTAGAACCTCATGATCCTTCTTTATGTCCAAAATACAAATGGTTCTAAATGAGATCTGCTTTTCCATATGCAGCGAGCTTATGTTCTAGATATGAAAACCATTAATGTACACGTTTCTTTTCAAAAATTGCTTCCTAGAACACAAATAGCACATTGCTTTCATAGCTCATCATCTGTAGCTGAGAAATGTTCACAAAATGTAGCAAATAAATGCATTTTAGGAAAGACAAATTTAAAGAATGATGAGCTAAAGCTTTAATGTTACAAAACATAAGGCCGATATTATTTCCATTCTCTTCAAAACCAACTATAAAAAATGCTTTTAATATACATTCCTTTGCTGACTGAGGTATGCTAACCCTTTCAAAAGAAGGTTCAAGGGCAAAATAAGGACTAATTTAATACAGAAATTGATGGAAGACTGCATTGTTTTCAAGTTACCTTTAAATCTAAGCAAATGTATTATTAACAGGCAGCCCACATAGTCTTAAGGTTAAGTCAAGATTATTCAACTTGCATGCAGAACAGATTCCCAAACTAAATTGAGCCAAATAGAAAATAAAATAAATGGTGAGCAGATAACTTATCCAGCTGCTTAGAGTGTTTAAACTGTATGATGAAAAGGACTCCTTTATATGTTTATTAAATCTATCCAATAGAAAAAAAACGAAAGACGGGATCGCAGATGTCTTACTTCTTTGCAACAAAATGAAAAAAACAGAAATAAACTGAGCTCATGATTTTCTGTCAGGATCATAGAAAACCCCTGAAAATCACAACAGCATTGTGGGTGTTTTGAAAATTCTAAAGGCTGTATAGTGTAAATACTGGCTAAAAATATACAGTTGAAAATAAGTGAACAAAATAAATTGAAACTGTGCCCCCCCCAAAAAAAAACAAACTGAAGAGACTGTATGATTGATAAGAGAAAGACTTAAATCTCCCAAAAGTTTATACTGTATATATGTAAAATACATTTGTACATGTGCTATCTTGCATTTATTTTATGCACAGGTCACTTTTAATGTTTTAGATTTATTCCAGTATGAACGACATGTAAAAAGAAAAGAAACAAACATAACATTCAAATAACATCTGAATTCCAGACGTAAAATTATTGAACGGTACTTCTATACTTACTTATAAGTATTACATGGGGGATATACTGTAGGAGTCTATTTTCCACCAGGGTCATATTTTGGAAGAGTTATTTTATGCACTGCAGAACATAATAATGGAATTAAACCTTCCAATTTTGAGGTTTGTCCCTTCCAGGTAATTTTGCTACATGGCTAACTTCAGTACAGTAGACGACAGATAGCGAATATCTGCCAAAATTCACCTGAATTTCATAAAGAAGGAATGCATTTCCGGATTTTCAAACGAAAAATAAAAAACACCTTAAAGCCATCAACACACAAGACAGATGTAGACTATACAATTAGCCTCACCTTTCTCCTGGAATATAGCTCAGCTGTGTGCTTTTTGGGTCCTTAAAACAATACCGGCTTCAGAGCCTTAGTGCACTTCAGGTTATTTTAGAGCTAATTCTCCCTCCTGTGAAGGACCTCAGAGTAGACACTGTAATCTACTGGGTTCACAACAATAATTTTTTGAGGAAAGAGCGCTGCAGATTTTAAATCCTTTTACAAATGTCATACGCTTTCAGTAACCACAAAACAGCCGGCAGTCTTGATGTCCAAACAGTCAGGGGCTGCTTTCATTCCCATTTATGGGATCTATAGTGTGTAGAGAGAACTGGCCATGAAGGTGTTTTTGTTTGGGAGGGTAGGGGTGGCCACATAGTTATTTAAGCAACAAGGCTGAAAAATGCAGTAATAGATGTACTTCAGCCAGCAATGCCTTCACCTTCACCTGACAAGGAATACATTTTTTTGATAGGAATAAAGGATACCACAAAAGGCTGTTATTGTACACCCCTACCTCTGCAAATTAAATGTTATCAACAGCACAATTAACTAATGCCATCCACTTAATATTTGAACAATATCAGTTTGGCAAATAAAATAACTTCAATTGTCTCGCACTTCAACAAGAAAAAAAGACTTAAAAGTCATCATCTAAGCATTCATTTCTACTGACAGTTTTAATACAGGGTTTTAAATTCCTAAGGCATTATAATGTAATCTATTTCACACACAGAGATTAGCACATTTATGAACCTTTTATATAGCTGAAAAAACACAAAAAATAATATCAGTTTTGAGTAAAAATTTAGATATACGTACTTAGTTCCAAATATTTTTATAATAATGGAATCACAATAACCTGTCATCTGAATAAAAGATATAATCATTTTAATTGCTATATATGTACCCTAGCGAGCGTGATTCAGTATTTGCATATCTGTGTTAGATTCCCAGACAATGTCATCCTGAATGTTAACAGTTGTAGGCTGCAGACAATATTTTCATCCCCAGATTGGTTCAGAGCATGTTAATTTTTGCTGACATGTAGACTGTCCGCTCTAATAAAACATTCTCGCTGAACTCTAAACTCGTCTGATATGATAAAGCAACAAGCCCTGAATCTCTGGCAGGAGATCAGCTGGTACCAACAGCGCGAGAGATCGAGACACTCTGCGCGAGTCTTGCACACAAACAGTAATTACACAAGTTTTGTGCATCCTCGGCTCCTCATGGCAACACAGCAGGTACAGCAGGGTGCTTAGTGTGCAACTGGATTTTTGCACACATGCTACAGTTCACAAAATTTTGCAAAGCACTTCCCAACTATGAAGTGCACTGAAAGGCCACCACAACACACCAGCACATAGTCTTACAGCTCCTGTCCTTTTGAATCTCTTCAGAGGGCAGAACTCTGGGTTCAATCAAAATCTGAGCTAGATGCTTGATTATTACAGCCTCTTTTGCCACTCAGTCCGCATGGCAAATATACAATATCTGTTCCTTGAGTTTGCTGACATATAACAATACAGTCCTTAAAGTTGTCAGATTTATTTATTTCAGTAGACATCCTGTGTTGGCCATCACAAGTACCATACATAACACAACACCATTATTTCATTAGTAATCCAGGTAGTGCCAATGAAACGTAGATGAGTTTATATGGTTATTACTTATATGATTACCTAATGAGCGGAGGATTTATCAAACCCTACAGTGCCCAAATGTCCCAAAGGAACACAAGTCTGAGTTTGCTGCAGCTGTCACTGGATTAGGATTTAAACAGCATGCATGATTTAGTTGACAAGAATTTAGGTGGCCACCATAAAAACAAGAAACAAATTTCTAATGAAGATCTTCCCAGATTCTCTACTGAAATCACATCTCTTGCTGAAGGGAATATATTTTGAGTTCTCTTTGAAATTAAAGGATAACAGCATCTTCATAAGACATAAACTGAATTGAAAATATGTGTACTCTAGAGTTCTCGTCTTTGTATTTCCATTTCATTTTTTACTAATGTCCTCTACGTTCTTCAAAGCACAAGATGTCCCAATTTTGCAAGCCCTCACACCCTGTCGCCTTTGCTCTCTGAAGATTAAAATACACAGAAAGCAGCGTTATGAGGATCTCATAAAAAAAGGCAGACTGAAAGAAAATCCATAACGCAAATACAGCTGTCAAACGTAATGCAAAGTTAGCAAAAGTGAATCTAGTGACCGCTGGGATCAGCTTCTGACTAAAGAAACCATTCTTGAAGAGACATATCACCCTGTTCATTGATCACTGCAAAATCGTCAACTTCTACAAACACACAAAAAAATCTATATTAGAAATGGTCCACTGGGAAAGGTTAAACTCGCTGTGGCAAATCTGGAGAGAAAGGAGAGAGGTGCAGTTTATTTTTAAAAGTGTCGCATAACTTTAGTTTCAAAAGCGAGAATTTCACAGACAAAATAAGCCTTTGCATGTACGTCTCCTATTCTGAAGGCAAAGTTAAGAAGAAGAAAAAAAGTTTCCTTCTGCACCCTCTTTACTCCATAAAGATCTTTATGTCAAGAAGCACTAACTTGTTTCAGCACGGTTTTGTACTTGAGAACTGGAAACAAAGCTCAGAAGATGCTGCAAAAATATTTCAACCTGTCTCTGCAACAACATTTTTAATTACAGTCCGTAAACTGAATTACCAACTCAATTCTACGATTTCTCTCATGGGAAGTTTAGCTAATGGACGCTAAGACTAATGACCAACACCCTTAACTCTAACATACTGTCATTTCCATCCAGTGGGCACACCACGTTTCTGCAATACTTTCTTCTGCACATCAGAAGGCAGGAGTTTCTTTTCAGTTGTTTTTTTATACAGCTTTCCATTACTTTCATCCATTAATCACCTTTCTATAGAACAGAGAACTCTGTCCTACCAC